CATTCTGGAAGGAAATCACTCTGTGGAGCCTGCCTTTGGGAAGTGGAGGTCCTTGCTCTTCCTTCTGACGGGCCACGCCAACGCTGGCTGTACACAATGAAGCTTTGTCTCGTCCTTTCTCATTTGTTCATAGCCCTGTTGACTGGGGCACATTTATATTATCCCTTGGGTTATAATCCAATGCTGCTTTAACTGATGGTTTAATACATTTCATTATGAAGGATTTTGAACTTATACAAAAACAGATAAAGCAGTTTAATAAGCCCTCCTGTGCCAGCCCCGCAGCAAACCAGCTCTCCAAACACTGTCATTTCGTCTGTAAATATTCCTGTATGTATTTCGAAAAGACAAGGGCATTAAGAACATAACCATAACCAAATGACCAAAATTAACAGTTGAATCAGTAACAAGAATGACCACTCCCATTTCTTCTCAGAAACACCACATGTGAATGCCAGGCCCTAGGGTTGGTGCTCAGCACAGAAATAAGGTAGACACACACATGCAGACCACAGCATCATATCGAGAGTTAACTGCTCTACTGGGAAATGATGCAGGAGTGGGGGTGAGGGTTCTCGGGTGGCCAGGGAAGTCACTCTATTAAGGGGAGTTATTGGGAATCTGGGGGGAGAACATTCCACGACTGAAACCATTAGAACAAGACTTTGACCACTGTATATCAGCCAGGCGGCTGATGAAGGCAGAGTCTAAACGCAACTTGGAGTCCAAAGCCAGACAAGCATCTCTTATAAAGGCGACTTTATTTCCCTACCGGCTCATCAGTCTAAGAGCTTGCCTTGCCCTGTGCCTATGTGTCTCCCCACTAGGATTCTAGTCCCATGGAGGAGGAGCCTTGTCTTTCCTTTCTCTGCATCCCCCTCACCCTACCCCTCCCTTCTTGCCAACGGTAGGCAAACCCTTCTACCACTTTTGTGACTCCAGCCCTTTTGTTTTTGTCATTTGGAGGGCTGTTTGCTTTAGGAAGAAATCATATTTATTCAATATACTGCAAGGAGAAACACGGGCGTAAACACGGGCGTGAACATAGGCGTGGCAGGAACAGAATTGTTTGCTCTCCCTTTCCGGTTTTGATTCTGAGACAGCTCAGGTAAGTTGCCTAAATTGCCATGGAGCCTCCTCCACAGCATTGAATTTAGGCTTCTGCCTCTGTCTCCTGATTAGCTGGGATTTCCAGTCCCATCCCATCACGCCCCATTGAGTGCCACTTTGTTTTATAGCTAGAACCACTGTGGCCCAGAGCCTGGAAGAACTGCAGCAGTCAGAGCTGAGCGTGCGTGTGGCGAGGGGTGGGTGGCAATAGAGAAGTAATCATTTAGCGCAACTGCCCTCTGGGATCTGTTTCTCTCTCGCGCGCGCACTGCTGGCTCAAAGCGAGAAAAGGAAGCCGGGATGGCAGCCACACAGATCGATAATCTTCACAGGAGGTGAGATGCTTCAAATAAGGTAGAGGGTGCTATGTATCACCCTACGGTAAGTGCCTGGGGAGATGCAAGGGAGTAGGCAGACGGGGAGCGGAACAGAGGGCCCACTTTTCTCCTTTTCAAATCACGTGGCAAAAGCGGGGTTTTGATGGACCGGCCCCCTCCTTTGCTTCCCCTGTGGCCCCTCTTACAGATATGTATGAAGGTGGAGGCGGTGTTGGCATGGGCAGGATGTATTCTCAGCCAGCCGTCACTTCATCAACAGCGGGGATTCAATAGTGCCAGAGTTAAAATGCCACGCAAGCCCCTCACCAGTTGCACAGGCGGGTGCCCCGACCGTCAGAGTTGGTCCCTTAAATCTCAGGTCTAAGCTGCCTGCTGATTTTATTGTTATTAGTTTTCTATGTGGAAACATGGAACAGCGGGCCTACTTTAAAGGAAGATTTACACCGACCCACATAGAATGTTGATTGGGTAGAACACATTGAAATCCAGGGCTATCCTTTCTTTCATCATTTTTAGCAGACAGCCAATTCTGCTGCCAAGTAAAATAAGAAAGAGAAGCAAACGAGAGAGAAAACAACTGGGTGGAAGGTCAGCTGAAATGATGCTCACAGCCTGTAAACCCCAGGGCTGAGTGTGTGCCTGTGGGGCCAGGCATGCTTGTTAAACAGCGGGTTTCCTGAGCACCTCACCACGCATGGTGCTGGCAGATCCCCGAGCTTGTGGAAATGTGTGTTTACTCATCCCCAAACACCCTGAGATTGTCAGGAAAATGACTTGCTGTGTCCCAGAAACAGGATTTGTACACCAGACACTGGCCCAGATGCCAGGAGCAGACCCTGCAAGCATCTGAGGAGCCAGATGCCTAAAAACTTTAAGCTTTTTATATTATTCTCCAAAGCCAGGAAAACACAATAAAAAACACGTCAACTCATTCCAAGGTTCTTTTGCCAGTAAGCTAAAATAATAAAGAAAATTAATAATAAAAAATTAAAGGAAAAAATCCACCTGTTTAGGAAAAAGAACACAAGTACTTTGACCTTGGCAGAGGGTGTGTGTGTGTGTGTGTGTGTGTGTGTGTCTCATGTAGTCTAGGCTGGTCTCAAACTCAGGTCAATGATGACCTTGAATCCCCCCCCCCTTCTCCTCTGCTCCCCTGCCCAAATGCTGGGAATACAGTCTGAGCCTCACACCCTACTTACAGAAGTAAAAATTTTGAAGTGATGTGGTTGTTGGCCTCAGATCAAAGCTGGACTCACTCAAAGGACAGAATTATGGAAGACGGCTGTGGCCCCCCAGGTCAGACATCGGTCTAGCTGTGTGGCGGAGGCACAGAAGAGACCTGGGCTATTGTCAGCAATTGTAAACCAAGGCTGTACACAGGCAGCCCAGTGGCAGAGCGCCTGCCTGGTGTGTATAAAACTGAGGGTCGCAGCCTCAGCGTGGAAAACCATCTTCCCTCAAAATCCCCAAAGAAGTCAGCTTCATGGATTCTCTCCCACATGGACCAGGGAAACTGGCCTGTATTCAAGGGCTAGGGTTCCAGGCAGCATAACAGGACAAATCCAACTCAGAACAAACCTAACGTCTCACAGATAGCTTCCCCACAAGCTTTAAGAACAGGCATGAAGATCAGCCCTCCTAGTTGGCTTAAAAAGACTCTACAGGGACAGGAGAGGTGGCTCAGTGCTAAGAGCATCTGCTGCACAAGCCTGAGGACCTGAGTTTGCCTGGGTGGGGATACGTCTGAAGTGCTGTGGGAGATACAGACAGGAGGGTCCTTAGGGCTTGCTGCCCAGCCTCGTTCCAGCTTCCATGAAGGAATTTGTCTCAAGGAAACAGCGAAATGTAGAGCAAGAGAGCAGGAGACCCGGCACCCTCCTATGGCACGCACAGACACATGCGCAGACACACGCAAAAAGGGTCCAAGATTACCACAGAACCAAATGAAAGTCTGAGTTTGTTGTTTGTTTTACTTAGAGACTGGCCTGGCTGTTCGCCTGCTTGCCCACTCTTTCTTCCCTTCTTCTCAGCCTCCCTTCTTCCTCTCCCCCCCTCCCCCTTCTGGTATTGGAGATGAAATGCAGGGTGTCACACACACTAGATAAGCACTCCACCACTAAGTCACCCCCTGCCCCTTCTCTGTGGTTCTTCACTCCTCTCCCCTGTCCCTTCAGCCTGAACAAGTTTTTGTTTTTTGTTTTTTTGTTTTTTTTTTTTTAGCAGTATTCAAACAACATCTGAGAAACTAACCAAGGTGCTGTGTCGCCCAGCCAGGCCTTGAACTTGAGTTCCTTTTGTGTCTGCTTTTCAAAGACCTGGGATTCCAGGCTTCTACTGGACCTGGCTACACCCTCATTTGTTAGGGTGAAATGATTATGCCCGGCATGGTGGTGCACACGCGCCTGCAATCCCAGCATGCATGCGTGAAACTGAGTCAGGGGGAACGCCACGAGTTTAAGGGCAGCCTGGGACACTAGCACCCAAGGAGACAAAGTTACATAGCAAAATTCTATTCGAAGAAGAAAAGAAAGATAACCAGATGTCCTCTTGAGTCCGTTCTTGGGTTTACTTATTAATCCCTTCTAACACACACCCTGCAATCACATTGTAGGCAATTTCAACATTTGCAGAAATAAAACCAGACTCCACAGGCTTATTCACTTGGCCCAATAATAAGACAAAACTGGGTTGACCCTGGCCTGGGCTGGTCCTAAAGCCAATGCCTGTCCAATATCTGTGAAAGAAGAACTACAAAATCAGCAAGGGAGTAATAAAGTGCCCCTCCCCCACAAGCCCCTTGTCTGTATGAACCTGCCACGGCAAGGCTCTCAGAGACACCCATCTAGCCCCCGTCTTTAGAGCAAAGAGGCAGTCAAGCATCCTGATCCGACTGCTCAAGAGGAGAAGAAGCAAACCGAGGAAAGCCGACTTGGCATGGAGCTACTCGATAGTAACAGTACATGTGGCAGAGAGTGTTAGCGCCAGTAACCGTCTTGGTCAGCATGGGAGAAGCCAGGCATCAGCAGAGAGCACCATGGAGCTGGGAAGGGGTGAGAAGAGCTTGAGGCTTCCGGGAGAGCTGAGCTTTTGGAGACACTGATGGCAAAGCAGAGGCAGCTACTGTGCCGAGCTCAAGGGCTCGGGAGTCAGATTCCCTCTGCTTAGATCATACCCAAGCCCTATCTAGGACCTTTGTGACAAAACATTGAACCCTCTTGTGTTTGATGCCGGCCCTGTGGAGTGCTGATAATCTCACATTCTCACTGTGCCCCTCTGAGAACAGACTAAGATCATCCGTGTAAAGCTGTAGCCTTTGCTCGCCTCATACTAAACGCTCAGTAAACGTTTGCTTAAACTATGAGGAAAATTTTATTGGAAAGTCACAGGGCAATCCCCGTAATTGTCAGAGGGCAGGGTAACCCGAACAAGAAATGAAGCGGGAACCAAGGGCATCTGGGTGGCAGACGCGGCAAAGCTGTACTTGGGAGCAGGTGGTGGCGCATGCCTTTAATCCCAGCAGAGGCAGAGGCAGGTGAATCTCTGTGAGTTGGAGGCCAGCCTGGTCGACAGCACAAGTTCCAGGGCAGCTACACAGAGAAATCCTGTCTCAAAGAACAAAACAAAACAAACGAATGAATTAAAAAGTGACTTTGAAAAACTGCGCAGCTAAGAGATACAGGTAAGCGAGACGCGGGTGTGTGGTCTAATCCTGAAGCCCTCTGAAGTGAGAGCTCTCATTCAACCTTACGGCAGAAAATGGATTAAAAAATAATAGAAAGTAAACCCAACAGGGCTTGGTGAGTGAAGGCCTTAAGGTTTCGGGTCATCCCCAGGAAGAAAGCCGAAGAGCAGAAGGGTCTGAGGTGTGAACGTGGAGGGGGGAGGATTCTGAGCCGAGTGGGCTCAGGATCGCAGCAGCGGGCCTGGCATGGGAGTTTGGAGCCAGGCGTCCAGGCCAGAGACAGCTTTTGAACTCGGGATCTTCTCAGGTAGAGGTCTCATCCCCCTCAGGGTGAACGGAATTGTTTTCTAGAGCTGAGAAACAAGAAGAGATTAGAAGTGAACTTCAATGTAGGCGCTTGATAAATCCCCAGCTGTTGCCCTCAGACTCCATGAGTAATAGCTGTGCTCTGAAGGACTTTCTCAAATTTATGGCTGGAAAAGCGGCCAGCTTTTGAAATACTGCTTTAACAGTGACCCCTAGTGTTAGGGAGAGGGAGCAGCACCCGAATCATCGCTGAGCTGATATTGCCAGCCGGCCTTAATGCATTCTGCAGCCGTCCTGCCTTTGGGAGGCTCGCACTTGAACAATTCCAGGTCACCTCCCTTCCAGGAAGATGTAATGGAGAAAAGCTCCGAGAAGGGCAGCCAGCATAAACACGGGACGGAGATTGAAGAGGAGGAAGACAAGGAGAAAAGACAGACTAGGAAGCTGATGAATAAAATACCAAAATAACAGCAAAAGCATCTCTGAGTGACAGCTTTTCTTCCCTGTCTGTTGTCGTGATAAAACACTGTAATAAAAAGGCAACTTAGAGGAAGAAAGCATTTATTTCTGCTTAGAGGTTACAGTTCATCATTTAAGGGCAGTCAGAGCAAAACCCTTATAGAAATTTAATACAAAAGCCACAGCAGGTGCTGCCGAACTGGTTCCCTCACAGGCTCCTTGTCTGTCTTATTCAGCCTAGGAACACTGGCCTCGGGAATGGTGCTGCCCACAGTGGGCTGGCCCCTTCACCAGTTCGTGGTGGAGACAACTCCCAGCCCAAGGCATGCCCACCACCTATCTGATCCAGGTAATTTCTCAGCTGTCTCCACAGAGGACTCTCAGCTATGTTAAGTTGTCAGTTAAAGCCAACTAGAACACACCAGTTCCTTCAACATTAACAAATAGTTACCTTTCTTTCTGAGCACTTTTGCCATACCAGGCTTTTTCCCAAAGGTAAGAACAACTATCATCTCTATTGCGTCGATAAAGAGACAATGAATTATCCATGTTGACTACAGCTGAGTCAAAACACGAGTGGGCTTCGTGACGGCTAAGTCTGTGTTTCTAGCCTTAGCACTGCAGCCTTTTAAAAATGGGTATGTGGGGCTGGGGAGATGAATCAGCATTTAAGAGCACTTGTTCCTCTTGCAGAAGGCTAGAATTCAGCTCCCAGAATCCACACTGAAGTTCACAACTGTCTGTATGTAGTTCCAGGTCCAAGGGATCCAATTCTCTTTTCTGGTTTCAGGCACTGCACCTAGTGCATATATATATATATAGGTTCAGATAAACACATAAACACACAAACTTTTTTAAAAAGCAAATAAATAAATACGGTAAGTCAGAATCTAGAAAATGCCTAGCTCATTAAGTTAGCAAAGGCTAAAAATATAAATTGTTTCAAGAGAAGCGGCAGTCCTGGCATCTGGGATGACTGCCCCACGTGCTCATTCACATGTGGTCACTACTTAGCAAAGCGATGGACCGTTCGGAGGAGGAGCCCTGGGCACGCACTGCACCTTTTAAAAATCTTTCCTGGAGGCTGGGGGTGTGGTGCAGTCGCAGATGCCAGAGATGGCACGGCATGGGCTCCTCTGCCAGAACGGAAAGATAAACAAATAAATGGCACTCGCAGCTGACAGTGTCTTCACGAAGGGCTAAGAGAAACAGTGTTTTAAAAAAAATGACAAGAAATAAAGGCAGGAGGTGTTTGATGACTCGTCAGAAGTTTTTAGAAGGCGTTTACAGTAAAAATTGTGAGGATGGATTTTGCTTTTCTGGTTGTTTTTGGTAACTTTCACTATCTGAAGAAGTAAATATCTACAAAAAATAAAAATAAAAAACAACCCCAAACCCACAAAATAACTATGGCCTCCTCTCCTGGCACCCCCGAGCCCCACATTTTCATTAGCGCCCCAAGCTTCACCGTCACCTCTTTAGAACTAGCACCTGCTTACTTATTCTGAACACCGCTCCCCCCACCCCTTAGGCCAGTGGTTCTCCATCTTCCTAATGCTGCGAGCTCTAATTAATACAGTTCCTCATGTGTGGTGACCCCAACCATGAAATTATTTGTGTTGCTACTTCATAACTGTATTTTTCCTACTGTTAGGGATCACAGTGTAAATATCTGATGTGCAGATGGTCTTAGGTGACCCCTGTGAAAGGGTCATCTGATCCCCAAAGGGGTGGTGATCCGCGGGCTGCAGGAGGATGGCCCAACTGTGACTCTGCAGGAGGAAACTGTGACAGGTTAATTCATTTGCCCGGTGTCCGACGGTGAAGAGAAAGCTTAAGCAAAGCCATTTGAATGATTATGGCGTGGACAGTCATAATGAGTCTTTATAATACAGCGAGGTAGACAGGACAAACGAAATTATTTCAGTGTATGCGGGTGGCGGCTGGGTGTCTGGAGGCCAGGTCGTTGGGGCCGTTCACGCAGTGATGGGAGCTGGCAGACACTACTTGGCATTCATCTGTATTGTGTACCAGCTGTTCAAATGTCAAGCGTTTCTGTAGGAGCTCCAGAGGTCCTGCTCCAGCGATGTTTGCAGACTCCAGCAGGTTCCCCTTGGGAACTGTAGTGAAGGAGGAGTGAAAGGAGTATCGGGTTGGAACAGGGGAATTGGGGAGAGAGAAGAGCCCATGACAGCAGGCTTCGTCCTTCCTTTCTGCATTGCTACCTGGAAGGCAATAGTTTGGGAAGACCAGAGGACAGGGTTTTTCCTCAGTTTTTACCTTAGTTGGAGGATCTCCAGGTATCGGAGCAAACAAATAACCGGAGGTGGGTCGCAATACTGTTGAGTCACAGGGAAGAGACACTCTGCAAGGGGCCAGTGGTTGTAATTATCACCAGCAAGTGTCTGGATGCTTGACTAGGTTGCTTTCCTCACTGCTGTGACCTATAGCCTAGAATGGACAAAAGCAGGTGTCTTGGTTAATGTTCTATCGTGGGGAAGAGACACCATGACCAAGGCAAGTCTTATAAAAGAAAGCATTTCATTGAGGGCTTGCTCACAGGGTCAGAGAGTGAGTCTGTGAGTCGTCAAAGGCATGGCAGGAGGCAAGGTGGCAAGGGGGGCCCCCCCGCCGGAACAGCAGTTGAGAGCTACATCCTGATCCTCAGACACACACACACACACACACACAGAGAGAGAGAGAGAGAGAGAGAGAGAGAGAGAGAGAGAGAGAGAGAGTGTACTGGACCTGGCATGGACTTTTAAAACCTCAGAGCCCATCCCCAGTGCTACACTTCCTCCAACAAGGCCACACCCCACCAACAAGGCCACACCCACTTCGACAAGGCCACACCTACGCCAACAAGGCCACACCTACTTCAACAAGGCCACACCTCCTAATCCTTTCCAAAAATCCACTCCCTGGTGACTAAGCATTCAAATATATGAGCATATGGGAGCCATTCTCATTCAACCAGCCCAGCAAGAGATTATGCAATTACGACCGGTTATCGATTGACTTTGTGTGAAACAATGAATGGCAACGGAGGTGGGGAGTGTGAGCAGCAGGTGCCCTGCATCACGCTCACAGAAGCAAAGTCATCTTTGGATCCCAAAGGGCTCTGGCTCCCAGGTGCTGGGACAGACTGAGAAATCTTCCTCCATAAACACCGTGTGCTCGGTACTGTAAACCCCGGAGCCTTTGACTTCCCCTCACCAGCTTCATGGGACCACAGAGGAGTAAGGATGGCATCATGGCCGCAGGGGATTCACCAAGGTTTCCACCCAGAGTGTGATCTATAAAGGAAGTCTGACCGCTCTCCTGTGTGCATTCACCTTCATAAGAAGGACCAAAGCCAGGGCCGCCCACTACCTCTGCTCCACCCAGCCTCTCCTTTGTTTCTGTTAACTAAACTATAAGACACTGAATTTAGAAACAGATGAAAAAAACAAATGCAAGAGTAAATTAAGCATTTGTTTTGTGTTGTCCTGTTGAATACATAGCCACAAGCTGAAACATGTCCTTCAAACTACCAATGATATACAATTCAATATGCTTTAAGTAAAATTTTATATAGTAACTTCCACACACAAACATTGTATATATTTATAAAAATATACTTCACTGTATTTGTTACCTAATTACCAATTGCACCCCTCTCTTCTCTTCTCCCTCTCTCTCCTTCCTTCTTTCCAATACATCTGTATCTATTTATTATATATGTATGTATAATATAGATACTATCCATCTATATAAGCCGGGCGGTGGTGGCACACGCCTTTAATCCCAGCACTCGGGAGGCAGAGGCAGGCAGATCTCTGTGAGTTTGAGACCAGCCTGGTCTACAAGAGCTAGTTCCAGGACAGGCTCCAAAACCACAGAGAAACCCTGTCTCGAAAAAAAAAATATCCATCTATATAGAATATAGATATAAATACAGATATGTAATATATAGAGAGATAGAGATATGGGTTCACTAATTTGCCCAGGCTGGTCTTAACTCAAGACCCTCAAACCTCAACCTTTCAAGTAGTTGAAATTAGATGCATGCCCCATGGCACCTGGCCCTTTTGATTTTTTGCACATCAAATATTTTTTTATGTAATAAAAATAATAGTAGATATAGCAAAATAATAGTAAAAATAGATTCTCACCTAGCAAGTTATAAAGGCAAATTTCAGTTGCTTTCTAGAAAAGTTTAATATATATAGTTATAACTATATATTTAGTTATGTAAATACACACACACACAAACACATGGAGAGAGAGGGGTGTCTCACTATGTAGTCCTGGCTAGCTTAGAACTCACTACATAAACCAGGCTAGCCTCTTACTGAGAGATCATTTTGCCTCCTCCTCCTGAACGCTGGTATTACCACACCTGGCCGGTGTATGTTTTGAATTTCCGTGACTTATTGTGTATTGCCGTGGAGTGCAGAATGACTATGGAAATAAACTGGATCTATTCTACTGCTATTTTACCACCCGCCACTTAAAAATCAAACTTGAAAAGTAGATTGGTTAAAATGTGATCGTATCACTTCGCTTTAAAAAAGCAAGGTTTGCACCTTAGAGAAAGCACGCTGAGGACTTCCCTTACCCAGGCAATTCCTACAGAGCACTGACACGGCGCCTTTTGACATCCAAATCCAGCATTTTCAGAATGCACAGACACACTTTAAATCCCATTTCTACTCTTTCTCCTTTCATCTGAAGCATCTGACAGTAAGCAGGCCAGTCTCACATCCCACCCATCTGCCCCTCTGCATCTCCCCCAGGCTCCAAGATCAGGCTGGCAGCAGGGCCACAACTGGGCACAGTGCCCAGACTGGACAGGGCTGCTCTGTCCAGCGTTGGCTCATTCATTTCTCTCTCGGAACTCTTACCAGATTATCATTTGACAAAACCTGGTCACTGGATGTCACTGCTGTCCCTTCCAGATGGCAAAAGCCTGCTTTTTTCATGCAGATGCCCCCGCCCTTCTTCTTCTTACTCTGGTGACTAAGGACCTGTTCTGCCATGTTTTTATTATATTTACATTTAAAAAATTATTTTGTGTGGTGAGCGGGTGATGCGTGCATGCCATGGTGTGTGTGTGTGTGTGTGTGTGTGTGTGTGTGTAGGTCAAAGGATACTCGCAGCAGTCAGTTTTCCTCTTCCACCACATGGGACTCAGAAACTGAGTTCATATTATCAGACCTAGCAGCAGATACCTTTACGCACTAAGTCATCTCACCAACCCACCTCTTTGATACTGTTTTATTTTTTAGAGAGGTTCTCCCTATAGAGCTCAGGCTGCTCCAGGGCCTTCCTGCCTCCTGCAGGAACTATAGGCACACACTGTCCTTGGTGTTTCTTTGTGCAATGGCTTCTGTGCCTTTTGCCCCCTGTATGTTTAGGGGGAAAGACAAAAGTTTCAGGCGACTTAATAGAGATTATATTGTTAACTGCTTATAACTGGGGAAAGTGCTTAAGCCTGCCAAACATTCTGCAGAAACCAACATCTTTAGGATTTATTTTTGCATTTTAAATGTTCACGTTACCATCAGAAGCCTTATTGCTGATATCCAGAGCAGAGATGTACATATCACCACTGACTTAGTCTCTACATAACTTAGCCATATGCCTCATGCATGTGAGTCCAGGAACATGCACATCTGGATGACTCCAACGGAAACCACTGTCTGCACTGGGCAGACACCTAGCCAACACTGCCCACATGCATCAGCCCTTCTTCCCAGGGAAGGAACTGCTGAGGACACAAGGGTAGCAAGAATCTTGAGAAGATGAAGAAAATACTGATTCTTCTTGGTCCTCCTTATGCTTCTGAAACTCATATGGAAGAGGCCTTTGTACCCTCTACCCCCCACCATCTTGTCAGAGTCTTATATATCACAGTGTAAGCCAGATGTAGGGATCTTTCTGGACTGGGCTGACTGATAAATTAACTTATGAATTTACTTATGCTAAGCAGCTGTCTGTCCATGACTGTCAGCTTTATCATCCTTGTCTGTGTCCCCTTTCTTTTTCCCAGACATCCCATTTCATTGCGGGTGACAGTTCATTTCATTCTCAATGCCATTTTGTCTCCTTGCAATGTCTGAAAATTTTCAATGAACAGAATGCTCCCTGACCTTTCTGAGACCGACAAAGATATTTGTGTGCCCGGAGCAAGTTCAATAATACAACCCAGCTGGGCTTCCTGTCCAGACTCTTCCAAGCTATACTTCAGAGGCTCAATTATTAAAAGAGATCGTCAATCTGTCACACCAACACTCAAATCCCTGAACTGAATTCCAGCTTATTACAGACACATACTATGGTCAAGGACAGTCAGATACATGAAGGCTCTTGAGGGATGTGGGCAAAGTCATCTAGGACTCAGGCACCGACAGACAGTTTTCCGAATGTTCGTCAGTGACTTTGAGTGCTTGCCTGCTCCCAAGGTGAGCTCAGGAACACACATTCAGAATAGCAGAGCAGAGTTCTCTGCTAACAACAAGAGATACAGAGTCTTCGCTGAATGAACTCGGAAGCTCTCTACATATGTACTAGAGTTACACGCTCTCCCTGCCTCTTTAGCTCAGGTGAAACATCAATTTCTCCCAACAAATATTGATTGAAGTCTGACTAGGCACCAGCAAGTCAACTGCCAAAGAAGTCAGGCTGAAAAACGTTAAGGGTGGCCTTGTTTCTTCCAGCTAACGGGCTGGTTGAAGATCTAGAACAATCAATCAAAATAGATCCAAAGGGTTGAGCTCAACGGTAGAGCTCTTGCCTAGTACGTGTGGGGCTATGGGTTCGATTCCCAGCACTGAAAATGAAGAGTGGGAGACGGGAGGATAAGAGTACCATGGAACCACACAGAGGAACCCTGTATGTGATGTGAGGCTTCAGGTCACCAAGGAAGCAGACACCAAACTGAGATCAGATGGGTGAGGAAGGGTTAGTAGGGGATGAGGACCCAAATCCACTTGTGGGCTAAACCTTTGCCAAGTTATGGTATCAACCCCCACCCCATCCTAAGCTGTGGTGATGTATTCATATTTCACACTCTTCCAAACCTGAGACATGATTTCTAGCTCTTTGTCTTGGTTCCCACGGCTCAGGCTTGTCTGTGTCCCCTCCAGTCATTACCAATTGGCAATTCTAGAAAGGAGAAAGCCAAACTCTTTGGCCGACTGACAATTTGTTACCATCATACAATGATAATGATAAACATTGTTGCCATTTCTAAAGCACTGGCCTGCGATTCACTCGATTCCTGCAGCTTATGAAGCTTTCTTGTTCTCTTAGCAGATAACAGATACAGAAATGGAAACATACAGAAGTTATCAAATTTAACCTCATCACCTAAGTCACAAGTGGCCAATAAAGACTCAGTCTGAAACCTAAGAAGGACATTTGTAAAATGGTTTAGAATTTATGTATCTGACACATAGTAGTTAATA